GAGGACTCTCATGAAATAGCCAGCATCTGAACGTGCTCGTTGATAGGAATGAGTAACGCGACGGGGTAAAAGGGAGAAATGAAAATTCTACTAAACAAAGAGTCAACCCTATATCCTACCCTGCTTAATTTTTATGACATAACAGTGTTATATAGCCACTGCTTGTTACTCCCTTCATAAAGAAATATAAGATCATTCATATCTAAACACTTTTATACTCCCTCCGTTTCTAAATATTTATCTTTCTAGACATTTCAAACGACTACTACATACGGATGTATGTAGACATATTTTAAAGTGTAGATTCACTCACTTTGCTTCGTATGTAGTCACTTGTTGAAATGCCTAGAATGACAAGTATTTAGGAACGGAGGGAGTATTTCTTAACAGAGGGAATATAATACTAAGCTTGCTCTTGCCCAAACCAAAGACTGGCCAGTGCTCCGGTTAGCCGTAGAGAGCCGGAACACGTACAGGATTGCACCGCCCGCGTTAAATAGGCCGGTCCTAAGCACTCGGTCCCAACCACGAGGAGATAACACGTCGCGACCTCTCTGCCACTCGTCAGTCGCAAGGTCCCTGCTCCTACTCCTACCCCCCTGGAATCCCAGTAGCGACTGCGGCGGCTTGCTCAAACCCTTTTGCGGCTTCGCCGCTCTCCCGGCCGGTACGTGTAAACCCCTCACCTCACCGCCGCCGTCGTGCGAAACTCTAGCTTGACCGGGTGGTTGCGCCCATACGCCAGCCGCGCGCCGTTATGCCGCTGGGCGGTGCCGGTGCGCCGGTGGCACCTTAGCAAGGCGCTGCCTATTTTCGGCCGTGCTGACTGACCTCCGTGCTGATCCTCTAAACCGATGCATGCTGCTAGCTAGCTACCCAGAGCGCAGGCACGGCCGATCAAACTTCAGACAGTTTACCTGTTTGTTTTCCCGTCGTGCGGCTGACCACCTTAGCCGCTGCGCGACTGACGAGCAGTTTGAGTGATTTCAGTGCCGTAGTTGCGAGATTATAATCTTCAAATCATGATTGACCACGCTGTGTCTTTTCTGCACACATTGGTGCAACTTGTAGCCATCAGTTTTGGGGACTCTCCTACACTATTGACACGCAGTTTCTGTTTCTTTGCACCGATTCCGCAGGATCTAATCTAAGCAAGAAGGCCACTCATTCTGACCGGAAACCCACTGGCATTATTGTCGCTGGCTGATCAGTTGCGCTCCATCGGCTGAATTTCTTTCTTCTTCTTCACAACAATTGTCGATCGGAGATGGCGCTTGAGAGCACGGCCAAGGTGGTGCTGGGATGCGTGGCCTTCTCCATCTTCTGGGTGCTGGCCGTCTTCCCGTCCGTGCCCTTCATGCCGGTGGGCCGGACGGCGGGGTCTCTGCTGGGGGCCATGCTCATGGTGCTCTTCCGCGTCATGACCCCCGAGCAGGCCTACGCCGCCATCGACCTCCCCATCCTCGGCCTCCTCTTCGGCACCATGGTCGTCAGCATCTTCCTGGAGCGCGCCGACATGTTCCAGTACCTCGGCAGCATGCTCTCCTGGAAGAGCCGCGGCAGCAAGGACCTCCTCTTCCGCGTCTGCCTCGTCTCCGCCGTCGCCAGCGCGCTCTTCACCAACGACACCACCTGCGTCGTGCTCACCGAGTTCATCCTCAAGGTGGCCAGGCAGAACAACCTGCCCCCGCAGCCCTTCCTCCTGGCCCTCGCCTCCAGCTCCAACATCGGCTCCTCCGCCACGCCCATCGGCAACCCGCAGAACCTCGTCATCGCCGTCACCAGCGGCATCTCCTTCGGCTCCTTCCTCTTCGGCATCTTCCCGGCCATGATCGTTGGAGTCATCACCAACACCTGCATCCTCCTCTGTTACTTCTGGAAGCACCTCTCCGTCGACAAGGAGCGGGACCAAGAGTCGGCTGGGGGCCAGGACGTCGTTGTGGCCGACGACGAGGTCACCTCGCACCGGTTCACGCCCGCGAGGATGTCGCGCGCCAACTCGGTAAACGGCGACGCCGACTACATGAACGAGCCGATCCGCAGGAGCGACAGCATGAGCAGGAGCAAGAGCTACAACTCCGAGGGCGACCGCGACATCCAGGTCGCCATCAGGTCGGTGCGCGCGTCCAGCATGTCGCAGGAGATGGTGGAGGTGTCCACAGTGTGCGACCGGCGCGACGATGGCCCCCGGAAGGTGACCAGGACGACCAGCCGCCAGCGCAGCGTGATCATCGAGGACGCGCCCGAGCATATCTTCGACGGCGACGAGAAGGAGAAGCCGCACGACGAGGAGGTGGTGAAGCAGAAGAAGTGGAAGGTGCTCGCGTGGAAGACCGCCGTGTACCTCACGACGCTCGGGATGCTCGTCTCGCTCCTCATGGGGCTCAACATGTCCTGGACCGCCATCACCGCCGCCCTCGTCCTCCTGGCGCTCGATTTCACCGACGCACAAGCATGCCTAGAGAAGGTATGTCTTCTGAAAATCTGACAGTTTTTCAAAAATATCGATCATGTATGAAACATGCTGCTAATTCGGATCAAAATTTCCGTTCATGATTTGCATGCAGGTATCGTACTCGCTGTTGATCTTCTTCTGCGGGATGTTCATAACGGTGGATGGCTTCAACAGAACTGGCATACCCAACGCGCTCTGGGAGCTGGTGGAGCCGCACGCGAGGATCGACAGCGCCAAAGGAATCGCGCTTCTTGCCGTTGTGATTCTAGTTCTTTCAAATGTTGCCTCAAATGTTCCAACCGGTAACTCTTTCTTCCCCACCTGAATAATTTCTTGTTAGACTTGAGAAAAATCTTGTGATCTTGGGATGACCAGGTGCACTAAGCATGTTATCTCGGAATCATCTTTGTTTTCAGTGCTGCTGCTGGGCACAAGAGTGGCAGCATCCGCTGGTGCGATCTCACCTGCTTCGGAGAAGAAAGCCTGGCTCATACTAGCTTGGGTCAGCACGGTGGCGGGCAATCTCACCCTTCTGGGCTCAGCTGCGAACCTGATCGTGTGTGAGCAGGCGCGGCGGGCGCAGTTCCATGGCTACAACCTCACCTTCTGGAGCCACCTTCGTTTCGGCGTGCCGTCGACCATCATCGTCACCGCTATTGGCCTCATTATCGTCGTTAGCTACTGAACTGGACGGGGAGGAACAACTCCTACTCCTACGTTGCAGCAGTAGTGCAACACGTAAGCAGACAGACAGCTTCCATAAGCAAGGAAGCAGCCGTGAAAATGGGGCAATTTACCTGATTATCGTCTTCTACATTCGTGTAAACTTCTCGCCCGAAATTAGGCGCGGGACGTCGTCGTCGCCCATCTGCTAAAGCAAATAATGGGCGTGTCTTGTACGTGTGTTGTACTCTACGTAGATATAAGATTACCCGGTCGACGCAAGTAGTCGGTGCCCGTCCGTTGTATTCGAAAGCCAAGCTTTGCTTCGATAGGATGGATGGAAGGACGGGGAATGCAGTGACAATGTTATTTCAGCTGTATGTTTGCAGATAAAGATATTTTATACGGTGGACCGGTGGAAAGTGCGGTCAATATATTTCAACACTCTTGTTTATGTCTAGACTTTCTTACTTTTTAGAAGTGGGATTGATGTAGGTCTTAGATATCCTTTTTATGAAGAAAATGCGATTGACCGACTTTATAAATAAAGCCATACGAAAACAGTCAATAACCAGCAAAACCCACATAAACCATCCGGAGTCATACGAACCACCCAACACTAGGTAACAAAAGAAGGCAACAATTCAGTGCCACGCAGGCCTGAAAACAACATAAGGGGCACGCATGCCACCACCTACGCGCACAAAAGATCCAAGCAGCTACGATGAAGCACAAGCAGACGGAAGAGACATCAGATTGGCAGACGTCCGCACTTTGTTGATCAACATCTCCATGCCATCACAATCCGCCGATTTAGTCAACGATTTGCACTGCTGCAGAAAGATAGACATTTTAAACAAGATATCAGCAGACTTATTAAGGAAAACACCCTGAATAGTAAATTTATTGCGAGTAGTCCAAAGCGCCCAGCATAGGGCGTCCAATCCAGTCCAAAATAATCTCCTGGAGCAGCCTTGCAGACCGGCCGTCAGCAAGCGGACGTCGGCAAAGGAGCCAGGGGCCCAGGAGGTATTGTACCAGGAACCAACACACCCCCAAACCAAATTGGCCAAAACACAATGGAAGAAGATGTGATTAGTATCCTCAAGAGTAGAGCATAAGGCACAATAAGTAGAACCAGGCCCGTTCCTTTTCTCGATCTGATAGGCGGAGGGTAGCCGACCCCTGAAGGCCTGCCAGAGGAAGATCTTGATCTGCAGAGGAATCCTGACCTCCCAGATTTGCTTAAATTTCGAGGAATTGGTACCAGAAATAAGCCGAGCATATAAAGACTTGATCGAGAACTTCCCAGACGCAGAATGAGGCCATGACATGGAATCCGCCTCCTCCGAGAGCGCAGGGAACATAGCAGCGAGATGATGCCAGTCACCCAACTCTTCAGGAGAGAGGGTTCTCCGAAAACCCAAGTCCCAGCTATTGCAAGAGAGCTCAGAGATTGAGATCTCTGGGTTAGAGAAATAAGAAAACAAAACCGGAAAGGAGGTCGCAAGGGAAGCATCCCCAGTCCACCAATTCAACCAAAAACGGGTCGAGGCCCCATTATTGACCATGATTTTAACATGAACTCACAGCACCTACCTGACTTTTACTAAATCTTTCCAAAACCGCGAGCCACCGATCGCCGAGGCAAACATAGTGTTGGGGAACGCAATATTTCAAAAAATTCCTATGATCACGCAAGATTTATCTAGAAGATGCACAGCAACGAGAGGGGAGAGTGTGTCTGCGTACCCTCGTAGACCGAAAGCGGAAGCGTTTTAGTAATGCAGTTCATGTAGTCGAACGTCTTGGCGATCCAACCAATCAAGTACTGAACGCACGACATCTCTGCAATCTACACACGTTCAACTCGGTGACATCCCTTGTACTCTTGATCCAGTTGAGGCCGAGGGTGAGTTGCGTCCGCACGACGGCGTGTTGACGGTGATGATGAAGTTAACGACGCGGGGCTTCACCTAAGCACTACGACAATATGACCGAGGTGGAAAACTGTGGAGGGGGGCACCGCACACGGCTAAAGATCAACTTGTGTGTCTATGGGGTGCCCCTCCCCCGTATATAAAGGAGGGGACGAGGAGGAGGGCCGGCCTCAAGGGGCGTGCCCAAGGGGGGGATTCGTACTCCTAGTAGGAGTAGGTTTCCCCATTTCCTATTCCAAGTAGGATAAGAAGGAAGGAGAGGGAGAGGGAGAAGGAAAGAGGGGGGCGCCGCCCCCTCCTAGTCCAATTCGGACCAGCCCATGGGGGGCGCGCTGCCTCCCCTGGTGGCCCTTCTCTCCTTTCCACTAAAGCCCAATAAGGCCCAATACTTCCCCCGGTGAACTCCCGTAACTCCCCGGTTCTCCGAAAAATACCCGAATCACTCGAAACCTTTCTGATGTCCGAATATAGCCTTCCAATATATGAATCTTTAACTCTCGGCCATTTCGAGACTCCTCGTCATGTCCGTGAACTCATCCGGCACTCCGAACAAACTTCGATCATCAAATCACATAACTCATAATACAAATCGTCATCGAATGTTAAGCGTGCGGACCCTACGGGTTCGAGAACTATGTAGACATGACCGAGACACATCTCTGAAAAATAACCAAGGCGGAACCTGGATGCTCATATTGGCTCCTACATATTCTACGAAGATCTTTATCGGTCAAACCGCATAACAACATACGTTGTTCCCTTTGTCATCGGTATGTTACTTGCCCGAGATTTGATCGTCCGTATCATCATACCTAGTTCAATATCATCACCGGCAAGTCTCTTTACTCGTTCCGTAATGCATCATCCCGCAACTAACTCATTAGTCACAATGCTTGCAAGGCTTATAGTGATGCGCATTACCGAGAGGGGCCAGACAAACCTCTCCGATACACGGACTAACAAATCCTAATCTCGATCTATGCCAACTCAACAAACACCATCGGAGACACCTGTAGAGCATCTTTATAATCACCCAGTTACGTTGTGACGTTTGATAGCACACTAAGTGTTCCTCCGGTATTTGGGAGTTGCATAATCTCATAGTCATAGAAACATGTATAAGTCATGAAGAAAGCAATAGCAATAAACTAAACGATCATAGTGCTAAGCTAACGGATGGGTCTAGTCCATCACATCATTCTCTAATGATGTGATCTCTGTGAAGTCCGGATAATTAAGCTACAGTAATTCTCTGTTAATGATGCCACGTCACTTCGATTACTATCGCTAATCTCGTGTTAGTTCGAAACCGATTCAAATTCAAATTTAAAGTATAGGCAAACAACAAAAGTTTTTAAACAATAAAACTAAAATGTTCTAGAGGTACCAGATGATGCATAGGTAATTATGGTGGAGAAAGCACACCTTTATAAAATGTTTAAACACTCTAAAATGAATAAAAAAAGGTAACAATAATAATTATTTATATGCTTTCAAAATGTTAAACAATTTCAAAACTATTTTGTTTCGGTGCTAAGTGGTTTGTGGCTGTGGCTTAGTTTGCAAACTCTCTTTTGGTGCCACTGTAGTATTTTACTAAAATGAGAAATAAAAGAAAACACAAAAACAGAAAACAATACAAAAGAAAAAAAAAGAACTAAAACCTAAAGCTAACAGAAAAAAAA